ACACACACACACATACACGCACATACACACACACACACACACACACACACACACACACACACACACACACACACACAAACACACACACACATACACACACACACACACACATACACACACACACACATACACACACACACACACACACCCACACCCATAAACACACACACACACACATGCGCACACACACACACACACACACACATACATACACACACGCGCGCGCGCGCGCACACACAAACACACACACACACACACACTTATATATATATATATACATATATATATATATATATATATATATATATATATATATATATATGTATATATATATATATATATATATATATATATATATATATATATATAAATATATGTATATATACATATACATACATACATACATACATTTATATGTATATAAATATATATATATATATATATATATATATATATATATATATATATATATATTATATATACATATATATATATATATATATATATATATATATATATACACATACATATATATATATATATATATATATATATATATATATATATATATATATATATATATATATATATATATATATATATGTATGTATATATATATATATATATATATATATATATATATATATATATATATATACACATACATATATATATATATATATATATATATATATATATATATATATATATATATATATATATGATTATATAAGTGTGTATGTGTGTTCTTGAATGTGTTTATCTATTTGTTTGTCAGTCTCTTTGCCTCTCTCTTTCTCTCCCTTACCCACCTTTCTCTCTCTTTCTTTCTCCCCCCCCCCTCTCTCTCTCTCCGCTTCTTCTCCCCCCTCCCCTTCCCTGTCCTACCCACTCGCCCCCCCCCCCCCTCCCCCTTAACGTGCGCATTCTCGAGGACGGCCCATTCTCGCGCCAAAATGGACCTCTGAACCTTCCTCAACTCAGAAAGTCCATAACTGAATTCAAATTTGGCTTTAAGCTCGAGTCCTTCTCTTTCTTTCGCTCTTTTTATAGTCTTTGGATGTCTCTTAATTCCTCTGTTTAGCAGGGTTTTTTGTCCCACTCTCCCATTCTCTGGTATCTTTTTCGATCCTTTTTTTTTCCATGGTCTTTTGAAAATGCTAAAACACTTTGCTCGGTGTCCCAAACATCAACGCTTTTGTTGAAGATATTTCACATTTTTATATCCTTTTTTGTTTTCACTTTTTTTTCTTCTTCTCTCTCTCCCTCTTTCAATGGGAAATTGAGCCATTCACGGTCCCATTCAGGTGCACTCGCCACCCCTCCCCCCCCGTCGACCCCCTCTCCCCTTTACCCTTTCTCCTCCTTTCCTGTTTTATCTCCCCTTTCTCTTTATTCTCTCTTTCTTCCCTTGTCTCGTTTTCCTATATTTATTACTCATTCTTCTTTTCGCCCCTATCTTTCTTCTTAGTTTTCTTGTTTTCTTTCCTCTTCGTTTTTTTCTTCCTTTCTGCTTTTTATCTTCTATTTTCCTACCCCCGTTCCTCTTCCCTTTTCTTTAATCACGCCCTTTATTCCGACATCCCTCAATCTCACCTCTTTGTATTTTTTCGTCTCTCCCTCTTATTGTTTTCCTTGTCTTTTTTCCTCCTTGTTTGCTTGTTCCTTTCTTCTCTTATCTCTATTTCTCCTTTCCCCTCGTCATTTTTTTCTTTTTCTACCCCTCCCTTTCATTCCCTTCACCTATTTCTTTCTATTTTCTCTTTTCCTTTACCTTCCTCCCTACCTCATTCCCTCCAATAGTTGAACCCTTCTTGATTTATTCCTTTCATCCTCCCCCACTGACTCCCTCTGTCCCTATTCCCTCATCCTCTCTGCGCCTCCCCATTCCCCTTCCCCTCTTCCCTTCATTTTCCAATTTCCCTCTCCATCCCTCCTTTCCATTCCCTTACTTACCTTCTCATTCCCTATCTTCCTCCATTCGCACCCTATCCCCGTCCCCTCATCCACTTTTCCCACTCCTATCCCCTTCCTCATTCCCACCCTTATCCCCTCCTTTCGCCCCCCCCCTTCACCCCATCCCTTTCCCACTCTCACCCCCCCCCCCTCTCGCCCCCTCTCTCCCCCTCCTTCCATCAAAGACGTCAATTATTAGATAAAGCGAAGTGAGTTCGGTGTAGTGTACTTAGTGTACGTTCATTCCCCTCCCTCCCCCCCGTCGTCTCTGCTTAGCGATGCAGGCTTTTCCATTTTTTTGAGTTTGGTATATCGTGTGATCTTTTTGTTCCTCTTTTTTTCTTCTTTGTATCACTCTTCTTCTCTGTTTGTGTCTCTTTCTCTCTAAATATATAGTCTCTTTTTTCTTTGTTTCTCTCTCTCATACTCTCTTCCTCTCCTGCTTTTCTCTGTCTGTCTCTGACTCTGTCTCTCTCTCCTCTCTTTCTCTCTCTCTCTTTACCTGTTTCTTTTTTTCTCTCTCTCTCTCTTTACCTGTTTTCTCTCTCTCTCTCTCTCTCTCTTTACCTGTTTTCTCTCTCTCTCTCTCTCTCTCTCTTTACCTGTTTTCTCTCTCTCTCTCTCTTCCTCACTCCCTCCCTCCCACTTTCGTTCCTCTCCATCCCTCTGTGTACCTCATTAATGTTTCTTTCTTGGTCACAGTCTGCATCATTCTTACTTATGTTTATCATTATCCTTTCTCTTTCTGTCTCTTTCCTTTCCTCGTCATTTCTTTTTTATCTTGTTAAATCGGAGTGACTACAGAACCAGTTACCAGTTAGTCTTTTTTTTCAGATTTATCGACCAGTTACACAAAGTTCACGTTTGGGGAGAAATGGTACCGAGAGAAGGTCATTTTTTTTATTTCTCTTTATTTTATATCTTTCCAGTTCCCTTGTTCCATCTTATTCCATCCTTATACATTCCTCGTTTCATC